CCCTCGTGTAGTTGACCCTTGCCGTTCCTTACGTGCTCTTGCGCCTCGCATACGAGCTCGTACCCGCCTCTTGGGCCATGCATGCGTCTTTTTGGCCCTATTTTCAGCCTCCTCGAGTCGTCTCGGCCCTTGGCCCTTCTTGTCGCAGGGGTCCGGAACCCACTTCCGTATCAGCACGCGCGGGCGCGTGCAGTAGGCCAGAAGGGGCAGCGCGTGGGGCATGACTTGCCTAGCAAGAAACCAAGTTTTGGAGACCTTTTTGAGCTGAATCTTCTCTAGATTATTCTTCCCTACTTGGAGTACAAGTCAAGACTTTAGTAGTTTTAGTTATATTAGGATTTTATTTTCTTGTTGCTTTTAATTATTGATTTAGGACATCTATATCTATTAGGCTTAGATTTATTTTATGCACCTATAAATACTTCATGTATTCTTCATTATTTACATGTCTTGAATTGAGTATTGAATTGGTGAACCAATTGAGAGAGGGAACTTATATTCTTACGTGTGTTTAAACAAGGCCGTTAGTGCGTGTTTACATACAGTGTCGGAGAGAAGGCCATTAGAGCGTTTTGAAGTCACAGTATCTAGGAGAAGGACCTGAGTGCGTCTGTTAGATACACCTATCGTGAGTAATTGAAGGCCCTGAGTGCGCGATTATTCACAACCCATATAGGCAAAAATTCGATCTGTCATCATTGGTGCTTTCATTGGGAGGTGCTGATCGAATTTTTGTTTATCCTATCTTTTTCTTTTTTTTTCGGTTTGCCTTTTGCTGAGGGGCCGAATTTCTCTTCTTTTTTTTTGGTTCGATATTTTTTTTTTTTTGGGAGGTTCGAATTTGTTCGAATTTTCCCTTTATTTTTCGAAATTTGAGTCTTAAAAAAAGTGTCATCTAGTCCTTTGTTTTATATTTTTTCGGTTTTGTTCGAATTTTTTTTTAAGAGTAAAAAAAAATAAATATGTCTTACCCACCACTGGATGAGTTGGATTGGGAGGATCTCGAATACCTCAAAAGTTTGGAGAGGGAATTAACCCCTTGGGAGCAAGAATATTTGGAGGAGATGTACGAGCAAAAGGAGGAGTATGAAAGACAACTCAAGATCATGGAGGAAGAGCAACAAGCGGAGGCCGAAGAGAAGCTCCGTGAATCAAGCGGAGGCCGAAGTGAAGCTCCGTGAATCACGCGAACGCAAGGCCAAGCGTAAGGAGGAGATGGTCGTGATCGACGACTTAGGCCCACCTATGCCCGACGATCAACCCGATGATACACGCATAGACGTCGAAGAAGTCGAGGTAGCCGAGGTAATTGGTGGCGCGATCGAGCGCGCGGATGATGTCGATGGTGAGATCTCGGTCGAGTTCGAAGAAGTCAAGACCGATGGAGACAAAGTGATCGAGGAGGTTCGAGAAGAGGATGAAAAGAGCGTACATGAGGAAGTTACGTTCATAGTCCTTGAGGTCGATGAAGGAATGCCCGAGGTTTGGATGGTCGAGGATGAGTCCTTGAGGGCAAGGACATTCTCAAAGGGGGCGGGAATGATGCGGAAGTGGATTTCCAGCCCCGACGACGAGAAAGTCCTAGAGCCGAGACGACCCGAGGAGGCTGTAAATAGGGCCAAAATGACGTATGCATGGCCTAAAACGACGAGTAAGAGCTCGTATGTGAGGCGCAAGAGCACGTGACAAAAGGCACGAGTTACCACGAACACGAGATAGTCGATGGATATCTCGTGCGAAGGAACGGGTATGTGCAGGGACACGCGAGAAGGTGGTCTCGAGGCTAGCAACGCTCACACGCAAGAAAGGGTGCATCCAAGAAGGGCGCGAACACGCGCATTGGCGTAGACAAGCGCGGGTGAGACCACGACTCAAAAGGACGTTCTGTCAATGGTTTCGGGATGCTTATCGAAGATGTGAAACCTGGTTGGGGTGGCTAAAATACCAGGTGGCACGAAGGAATGGAAGGCATGCTAGTCGGGTGCCCAACGGGCACTATGCACGCACATGGGCGCGCAGCACGCGCGCAGGCACCCAGTGGTGCACGGGTGATGCGGAAGTGACTAGGCAACTCAAGAATGCCGCGAGTCGCGCTTACCACGCACGTAAGAGGTTAGCACGGGAAGCAGCAGAAGTGCGGGACGAGCGACGATGGCCAGCGCACGGGTGTGCGGACGATGGGCGTGG